GCTACACTTCTCAGGCAAAACAAGGCCTGACAGAAAAGACAGGTTATATAAGATCAGAAATGTGTTTATGTACCTGAAATAAAAGTGCTGTATGTATTTTTATCCCTGAGGCTTGTTATTGATGAGTCTTCTTGTTCAAAGGCAGATTCTCATTCAGAGCAGTATATACCAAGCAAGAGGAAACGGTTTTGGTATAAAGTTATTTGTACTGTGTGATTGAAAAAGTGGTCTGGTTTTGGATATACAGTGGGACCCCCGCATACCGGACGCCTTGCATAACGGACAATCCGCATACCGGACGCTTTGATCGCTAAAATTTTGCCCCGCATACCGCCCAAAAACCCGCTCAGCGCCCTTCGTCCGAGACGCGTCCAATGTGCGGCCTGAGCCAGCCTCATATGTTCCGCCGGTGGCATTGTTTACCAGGCCAGCCTCCGCGGTAACATTCAAGCATACAATCGGAATATTTCGTATTATTACAGTGTTTTCGGTGCTGTTTCTGGAAAATAAGTGACCATGGGCCCCAAGAAAGCTTCTAGTTCCAACCCTACAGCAATAAGGGTTAGAATTCCAATAGAGATGAAGAAAGAGATCATTGATAAGTATGAAAGTGGAGTGCGTATCACCGACCTGGTCAGGTTGTACAAGAAACCCAAATAAACCTTCTCTACTATTGTGGGCAACAGAAAGGCAATCAAGGAAGCTGTTCTTCCCAAAGGGTTTTTAACTGTGTTTTCGAAACAAAGATCGCAAGTGATGGAAGATGTTGAGAGACTCTTATTGGTGTGGATAAATGAAAAACAGCTAGCAGGGGAAGCGTCTCTCAGCGATCAAAAGCGAAAAGGCTAGGGAAGTTGCTTGAGGATTTAATTAAAAAAAGGCCTGCAATAGTGATGATGTGAGTGAATTTAAGGCCAGCAAGGTTGGTTTGAGAGATTTAAGAAGCATAGTGGCATACATAGTGTGATACGGCATGGTGAGGCTGCCAGTTCGGACCACAAAGCGGCTGAAAAATATGTGCAGGAATTCAAGGAGTACATAGAAACTGAAGGACTGAAACCTGAACAAGTGTTTAATTGTGATGAAACAGGCCTGTTCTGGAAGAGAAAATGCCAAGCAGGACCTACAATTACTCAGGAGGAAAAGGCACTCCCAGGACATAAGCCTATGAAAGACAGGCTTACTTTTTGATGTGTGCCAATGCTAGTGGTGATTGCAAAGTTAACCCTTTATTAGTGTATCACTCTGAAATCCCAGAGCGTTCAGGAAAAAAGAATGTCCTCAAGGATAATTTGTGTGTGCTGTGGAGATCAAACAGTAAGGCTGGGTCACTAGGGACTTTTCTATAATGGTTACACCATGCATTTGCCCCCAATGTCAAAGATTACCTAACTGAAAAGAAATTAGAACTTAAGTGCCTCTGGTGTTAGACAATGCCCCTGGTCATCCTACAGACGTGGCAGAGCGACTTTATGGGGACATGAGCTTCATTAAGGTGAAGTTTTTGCCCCCTAATACCACTCCTCTCCCGCAGCCCATGGACCAGCAGGTTATTGCAAACTTCAAAAAACTGTACACAAAAGCTCTGTTTGAAAGGTGCTTTGTAGTGACCCCAGAAAAATCAACTGACTCTAAGAGAGTTTTGGAGAGTCATTTAATATCCTCAATTGTATAAACCTTATAGGTAAGGCTTGGGAGGGAGTGACTAAGAAGACCTTGAACTCTGCTTGGAAGAAACTGTGGCCAGAATGTGTAGACAAAAGGGATTTTGAAGGGTTTGAGGCTAACCTGAGAGGAGTATACCAGTTGAGGAATCAATTGTGGCTTGGGGAAGTCCTTGGGGTTGGAGGTTAGTGGGGAGGATGTGGAAGAGTTGGGGGAAAGGAGGACAATGAAGAACTAACCACGATGAGCTGATAGATAAAACTTCAAGAGCAAGAGGCCAGACCTGGGGAAACTGGTTCAAAGGGAGGGGAGAGAGAAATTGAAGGAATTGCCTACTTCAAAGATTAAGGAAATGTGTGCAAAATGGCTTGAAGTGAAAACCCTTTTTTGATGAAAATCACCCTCACACAGCTATTGCAAGCTGTGTGGTGATGTTACATGACAATGTTGTGAACCACTTTAGAAAAATTTCATAAAGGAACGAGGGGTTTACGGCCACTATGGACAGATTGTTGTGCGAAAGAAGTCCAGTGACTCTGAAGCTGGTCCTAGTGGCATTAAAAGAAGAAGGGAAGTAAACCCCAGAAAAGGACTCGACACCTCAAGTCTTAATGGAAGGGGATTCCCCTTCTAAACACTAACACTCTCTCTCCCCTCCTCCCATTTCCCCTCAATCATCACCAGATCTTCAATAAAGTAAGTGTATGTAATTGTGCATGCCTTTTCAGTTTGTGTGTACTAAAATTAACATTTTTATGTGGTAAAAAGAAAATTTTGTTTATACTTTTGGGTGTCTTGCACGGATTAATTTTATTTCCATTATTTTCTTATGGGGAAAAAATTTAAATTTACATACCGAACATTTCGCATTTAACAGCCAGCCTCTTGCACGGATTAAGGTCGCTATGCGGGGGGGGCCACTGTAATTGTGTAGGCTGGCAGTAAAAACATTGCAAAGATACCAGGAAGTTACAGGGGGATCTCTGGTGATGTGGTTAGAACAATGATGGAACCATTATCTTGGAAAGGGCATATTTTATAACTGGTACACAAGCCCTTTACTTAGTGATTTTTTGCGAGTGAAAAATGACAGATGCGTGTGGCACAGTGAGTGGAAATCGTAAACATATGCCAGGTTCGACTTGGCACTCGTAGAGGTGATGTTCAGGTGTTTGCTGCTAATGACATCGTGACATTTCGGTGGCATGACAAACGTGATGTCACACTGTTGACATCAGTTCACAGACACGAAATGGTAGACAGGGCAAGCAGAATAGAGAGACTAATGAACCCATTGTAAAACCTGCAGCTGTGATGGATTACAACCTCAATATGCGGTTAGTGGACAAATGTGACATGCAGATTGGGTTTGCTGATTGTGTTCGCAAGAGTTAAAGTGGTACATAAAACTCTTCCATCTTCTTGATATTTCCACGCTGAATGCTTATAATATGTATAAGTTGAAGATCAACAATAAACCCAAATATGGTGAATTTTGTCGGTTATCAGACAAAATAATATTAAAGTACCAAGGAAAAACACTTGCAATAGACCAGCGCCCACGAAATTACCAACACATGCCATCTCGTCTGAGGCCTGGTGATCACTACCCCATACCACTGCCTGCTACTGCTTTTCAAGAAAAATGCTCAGAAGAGGTGTTATGTCTGTTGCACATACCAAAAAATGCCCACAAAAATGCAGAGACACTCGTTTTAATGTGTGAGGAGTGTTAAAAACACCATTGTGCATACACCCATGTTTCAAAGAATTCCACAAGCTGCAGCAGTTCTAGAAAAGTGTCCAGTGATTGTACATTTGTATATATATATATATATTAGAGAACAATTTTTTATATTGTTTGTGTAAACAAGTTTTGTAAACAATATGATGATACTAGTGTTTTAGGTATAATTGTGTTACATTCAACAAATGTATATATAAACATTGCACCATACTTTGGTCTCACAGGCCACATAAGTTATGTGAAAAAATAAAATAGTGAAAAAAAAAAAAAAAAAAAAAAAGAAACCTTCAAATACAAGTAAGCCAAAGTTTACCGGGTGAGCAGCAGTCGCATCTGTTGCCATACACGGCTCATTTTCTGCCAACTTCATGCCTCCATATCTCGGTAAGTATGTGATGTAGTTCAGCTGGGCTTGTGAGGTCTCTGGGTAGACTTAATTTAACCAATTGTATGGTCACACCTTGCCTTGGCAAACATCTGTCAGCCACGCCTTTTTGGCTTAAGACTGAGGTCTTTTGTTCTGGACGGCGTCAGACCTCAGCATCAGATCAACACCACGTGTGCACACCTCATTGTGGGGATTGCTCTCGGGACAATATAAGCCCAAGGAACAGCTGAGCAGGAGAGATTCATGCGGAGCTCTGGCCTGGGTGCAGAGCTCTGAGCAGAGAGACTTCGAGCGGAGCTGCTGCTGGGGGGCAGAGCTTGGGAGAAGGCTGCTGAAGTCTCTGGAGGAGACTGTTGGAGACATTGGGCAGAGTACTGGCTTGGCGCAGTACTCGTCTTGGGACCTGTGGCTTAGTTCCTGTAGTGAACTGTCCTCTGAACTATATTGTAAGTTATATTCTGTTTCGCCAAGCTAATTGTGTTCCCGGTCTCACTGTTTATGTGGTACCACCCCATTTATCTAAACCACAATAATGTTCTCCTGTTCCCAAATATATTATTGTACAAGGACTTAATAATAAACTGTGTTTGAGTAGAATAGTAATATTCACTGTCCCCGTTATTTACTCATTTATTTTTATTTCAAGTAGTGAGAGGGTGAGTAGTGTGGTGGGTAGAGTAATGAGAGGTGGAGGTTGTAGTCACCAGTGACCTCACATTACCTACCTACCTCTGCACTCATCCCTCCTACTGCCTCGCCTGTCCCCTACCTACTGACTCCCTCCTCTTACCCCCATATTCCCCTAATCATTACCCCCTACATGACAAGTACTGATGGCAAAAAAATTTTTTTGAGACTAAAACAATCAGAAAAATAATCTTAACATTTTTTATAAGAATTTTTTTTTTTCCCGAATATTTTTCGACACCAGGAGACGCTTCAGGATTAGGGGTTTCAACAGTCAAGGGGTTAAGGAAAAAGAAAAAAAAAAAAGTAGAGAAGCAAGTTGTGAAGTGTTCATGTAAGGAAAGAAGCAAGTGAAGGTTATAACTGTTGGCAGGAATCAAATTCACATCAAGTAGGTTTAAGCAATGAGCATACCAGGTTGCTGAAATATAATATAAAACTATCATGTTGAAGGGAAATATTAAACATGTCTACTCCTCTTCTAAACTAGACATAAATACTCTAATACTGTACCTTTAGCATTTCTGCAGCTTCCTTCCGACGCTGAGCAATTCTCAGGGGATTTTGAGAGGAAATTATCAATCTCATCTGTGCGATACAAATGCTTGACGAGTTCTGACTGAAGATTGTCCTTGACATGATTAACCAAAAAAGTGCATAACAGCCTTAGGCACTTTGTCCTGGATACTTTTACGCACAATGTAAAAATATGTCTTGATCAAACGTTCTGGAAATACAAGATGTGTTAGAGAATAAATTAATTAAAATAAAATTATTGCATTTTTAAATTAAGCATACTGTACTGTGCATAAATACCCATTTTTAAACACTTTCCAGTACAGAGACTAAGAGAAACATTTACATGAAAAGTTTTAAACATAAAACCAGGAGACTGTTCACAATGTTTTGCTGCAAGGAGATCCTTCAGAAATATAACAAGAGACAAAATAAACTCTTAAGAAAAATTCAAGGGGGCACAGGGGCCAATGAGGTCAATTGTGTTCTACATATTTCCTGTCAGAATTGAAGCAAGTCTTTAGAAAAATTGTGAACCAATCAAGTCTCCTGATTTGATGTTTTAACTCAATATATCAACAAACCTTTAGTGATTTGTCTAAACTATTTACATACCTATAAACTTCACAATCTTTTAGTTTCTCTCTCGGTCAATTTGCGTGTCTGTTGCATGGGCACCTCTGGAAGAAGATTCACTGGCTTCTGTGGAGACAGTATGCCACCCTCAGGTGGTAGTGGAGGTTGTGGGAGCTTCTCAATCTGTCAATGCACAGCACACCCACACACGGGGGAGGGGGCAGGGGCTAGTAAGCTTAAGCAACTACAGTGCAACATGCCGCAAGTCCACCAACCTCATCACAAGGATGACAGAATGCCGTGCCAGAACTTAAAAGCATCAGTTTTCAGTTACTGTATTAGAAAAAGCAAAGCTTCAGGGTTAAAACACAAGTGAGGTTGAAGCTCTTGTGTCCTTGCTTTACTTAGAAAATGACATATTACATAAACAAGAATAATTTTAGTTGTTAAAATGTACTGTTTAATTGTAATCACAGCAAGTGTTAACACTGATAACCTTTTATGAGAAAAGTGATATAAAAGCCCTTTATGAGAAAGATCTACACGTTATCAAGTCCATCTTTCTTATGGTGTAAAGATCAAATGCAAATGCACCAGAAACCAAATATAAAAATAAAAGGACCAGCAAATTATCCCTCATCAACTATGTTGTTTTTGCCACATGCTCTCCAATAGTGATTGTTGTTGCTACTACCTAAATGTACAGCATACAGTAGTAGCACTTAACGTGCCTTATGTAATATTAGTATGTAATGTTTGAAGCGCATTCTAATTGCCCAGTCAGACTCTTGTCGCAACACTGTATCTAATATTGTGCAATCATTACATTAAATTTCCGAGTACTGTATATGTGAGGCTTTGCCAACATGCAAGGACAAAAAAAAAAAAAAATACTCCAAATTATTGTATCTGCTTCAGTGTTATATATGAAAGAAAAATAGATAAGAAAAACATTTACTCATTTCTTAAAAATCTTTCCATATAATTCTCTGTTTTTAAGGCAATGTTTTAAAACCTGTATTTAAGATGTTATGTTTACTCTTGCTATTGGTAACACCATTTTTTTCTATCTAGAAGTTGCAATGAATAATGAAATTGATATTAAGCACTAACATTTGCTTACCAGTTTACAGAGGAGATATGTCTTTTTCAATCATTTATATTTTGGCCTTGTTGAAAGCAGGATGCCAACACCCACTATTAGAACCCTGTGATGTCAGTCATTAACCATGCATACAACTTCATATATTAAAAGCTCCATCACTATGAAAATTTGTGCTAAGAAATTCTGCAAGCTGATCTGCTCATCTAATTAATGTGTAAGGTGTCACTTAAACTACAAAACAAAAATATGTACACCAAGTACTACACTGTTTATTCATTTGATCCTTAGGTAAAAAGAAAAAGTACATTAAAAAAAATTCTTAGGAACCTTAAATCACTAAACAGATGTGAGAATTCCACATCAGGCACAAAAATCAGACCACAGCAGAAGAGCTGCCAGCAGTTGCCAGACAGTTCCTAAGCTTACCCATTCTTGAGAAAGCAGCAGGAGAGAGAGAGAGTAGCTACCCTTGAGTATTCACTGACAGACCAGCATGAAAAAAAAAAATGGTCAGAAACGACCTAAATTTTCTTTTTAATACAAGCAAGTAGAATGTAGGAGAGGAAGGAGACAGGGAAGAGGAGTTGTCCTTAAACAGTCAGGCTAGATTTAGGGAGGGAAGGGGGGTTTCATTTTTTAAACTCTCTTTAGATACACTGCTTTGTGCAGCACTTTAATACAGTACTTCCAGCACATCTGGAGTTTTCTTACACACTGACATTTTTGGAGAGAATATGACTTCTGACAGGACTGTTTCTCAATGTACTGTTTTAGCCAAGATGTGACCCACAACACTTAGGTATCTATTTTTACTACTAAATAAGCAGGGGCAGCAGGGATGTTCAGGAAACTTGCCAACTTGTGATCAAACCTGGACCTCTCAGTTGTGTACTGAACACTTCCCAGTGAGCTATGGATCACCTGTGACTTCAGTAGTGAGGCTGGAAGGAGATTTCAACATCAAAGTGGGAAGGGGGATGGCAACTGCTTGCAGAAAAATGACGATACCATACATTAGCCAATTTGGTAACGTTGCACCAGAGAAATGCAACAAAATTAATAAATTAGTGATGCGAAGAAAGTCTGGTAAGGAGTATCGAGGCCCTTGGTATGGAAATGAGAGAAAACCATATGCAGGTTAAACAACAAAGCCTAAATATATACAAGCCAAATAAAATAAGAATGAACATGAATAAGAGAAAAATAATACCAAGTGTGTTACCATAAATTTATAAGGAATGGAAGTTACTTGAAAAGTGATCCGTGACCTTATCTTGGGAGTTCTAGACTCCAAATATGGCACCTTGGAAAGCAAGGAACTAACACGGAAACATAATTTAAATATGTTAACTAAACTAGAGATGAGAAACAGCTTCAAGTGAACAGATCAGAATGCTAGTTAGATTAACTTGTAATCAGAAAGTTTTCCATACAAGGTGTACTTTCCATGCAAGCAACTAAATTTATTAGGACAAAAAGGAAAACCAAAGAAATGTTTAGAGTTTTGCCATAATATTTCTTGAGAGGATTTAGAAAACCATAAATTTATTAGGACAAAAAGGAAAACCAAAGAAATGTTTAGGGTTTTGCCATAATATTTCTTGCGAGGATTTAGAAAACCAAGAAAAGACCCTATTAGATAGGAAAGGCATCCCTGAACTACATCACCCATACCTAAACCAGGTTCTACAACTACACTTTCTTAATAATTATACCACAAGCCTACCTTTTCCATTGTCTACATCACCATCCATTAAACTTTCTTGTCATTCATCACTCATCTCTTTCCTCTCACACCATCACCCTGAATCCCTTGTCTTGTTCACTTTTACCCATTTCTAATGAATCTGACTCTTTCATTCTAGTTCCCTCAGAATCTACCATTCTCATTCTCTCTTGCTCATCCTCTCTCACTTTCATTCTCATTTTCTCTCTCTTGCCACCCACATCACCTTAACTGAAATACTGCAACATCTTAAGTGATGGTAGCAGTGCTGTGTAACAAACTTCAGAGCTGCTAAAAGGATTAAAGATCAATTCACATTTAATGCAGCAATACCTTTGTGTAACCATCAAACTAACCCTTTAAAATGTCAGGGTAGCCATAAAATTATGTGTAGTTTTGCTAATATTAATCTACCCATGCCTTCCTCTTCTCTCTCAGTCACCTTACCCAATCTTTCCCCTGTTCTATACAGCATCCACCATTTGGAGTACAAGGTAACACTACAGTATTGTACTTGTCTTTGCTACCCCTATGTGCCTCTTCCCATTTTTTTTTTATACTCTGCAGAGCTTCTTTCCAATTACTTAATGACCTTTGTGTCTAATCAGCACTCCATGGGCTCTTTAGTTCCTTTTAATATAGTGGGAGGTTCATTCACCCCACATTTTTCTAGGTATAAAGTGGTATACTCTGCCTCTGATTTTAACTTCTCAATCCAACGAACTTTCCTTATGTTTGATTTTTTTCAGTCTTAACTCACAGGCTCATACTGCCCTTGTAATCCAAAACACTACTGCTTTCAGGATCTGTTAACTGCTTTCTTGTTTTTTATTGGCATAGGTCTTCTTGCAACTCTTATGTTAAACAAGACTTCAACCCATTTGAGCCTCTCTTACCTAGATAATGACATCTTATATCCAGTGATGTTATTCTATTTTCTCTTACTTCCTTTTTCTTTGGAGCCACTACTACTATTCAATGAATCTCAAGTAAGCATTTCCACAAGTGTGGCCCTTAGAAGTTGCCACATTTCAGCATTTACTACTTGTCAGTACAGCAGTGTATATTTACGTCAAGAAAGGGATCATGCATTTGTGTCATAAAGATAGCTAAACATACTTTGCACTCACTGCCACTAACTCCACAAGTGCAATATGGAAAACTAACAGGCAAATGCTAACCCGATTCAACTTTTGATCATAACAAAGGGGTACATTTGCCTCATGACTAAGTTCTTAGGAAAATATGCTCCACTGCATTTTCCATTCTGATGAATCCTTTAATGTTTCATTTAAACTCTTTGAACTCGCATCGAAATCCTCAAGATATCAGCCTACAGCATCCGGGGACAGGTGTTATACATGCTCCAATGCTCCAATATATCCTTAACCGACTTCCTTCCTATTAAGAGTCTTCAAAGTTATCTGGCCTGACTACTGTACCACTGTAAGGGTGTGACCAGACCCATCACACTTGCCAATTGTATTTTTAAACTACTGGAATGTATGACTAACAAAAAGATGTGTTGTTATATTAAGACCTATAGTTATCTGTACCCTATTTTTAATTAGAGAAGCTAGGGGGAGGGATCATTCCACCAGATTTTACTCTGTCTTTGTACATTAGTAATGCCTTTACTAAATACAAATTTTTTAATACACTGACCTCTCTCACAGAGGTAGGGTGACCCGAGAAAGAAGAAATACTTTCTCCATCACTATCACTTTTACCAGAGGTGTGCCAACATTATGGCTCAGATGCCCCTCCAAACTACAACATCCCCACCCCTCTTCCAGAATGCAGGCACTG